TCTTCCCTGGGCCTCTTGGGAGATGGCTGCAGCAGTGCCCCAGCTCTGAGGCCCTTCTTCTGTTAGCCCCATGGGGTTTACTCGCATGTCTTTGCCACATCCTGCATCGTGCTGATGCCACTTCTGGTGGCCCCAGGAGGTGGTTATTTCCATATTCATAATGCTTGTGAGAATTCCTGCATTGTTGTTTTTTCTTGTTTTTTGTTGTTTTTTCTTTTTCTATTCCCCAACTATTTCTGGAACGGGAATGGGATTAATAGCCAAGGGTACTTGGAGATGAATGCCCCCTGCGAGGAGCTGAGCTGCCCAACCAGGCTGTAAACCGGCCCGGTGCTTGGACTCCTTGGCCGTGGTGGCACCAGCTGCGTGCCACTGTGTTCCCCAGAGGCCTCTTGGAAGGCCTAAAATCTGTCCCTGTGTTGACCAGCAGCGCGCTGTGCCCATGGTTCCTGACTCTGCGGCAGGTATCTCGCCTGATTTGTGTCTCAATCCCTTTCTGCACTTTTCCAGGATGCTGTTGGTGCCACTACGGAGGAGGAGCGGCTGGTCAGAATGCGGGACGTCATCCAGCAGCTGCCCGCTCCTCACTACAGGTCAGTGCTGCCCTCAGCCTGCTGAGCTCAGCCCTGCTGCACTTCAGAGGGCATTGGTGCGATTCCAGGCTTTGTCTCACGCGAGCAACGGGATGCCTGGGTGTGCTGAAGCGGTTGAAGGCTACACGGGGTTAATTTGTGGGGTGAGTTCCTGGGCACAGGGGCACGCTTGGTGCAGCTGATGGCTGCGGCTGTGCTGTGCTGGGGCTTGGTGCTGCAGCGTGGCACTTGGTCAAGTTGGATCTACTTCATTGACAGTAGCAATAATAGCAACTAGCACGAAGTGAGGTTTGCTTTGTGAGTCACAGCACGGCATGCTGGCTGGTGCTGAACATTTGCCTCTCTTGTTTCCCAGGACCCTGGCGTATCTGATGAGACACTTGGCCTGTCTGGCTGGGCACTGCTCCACCATCAACATGCATGCGAAGAACTTAGCGATTGTGTGGGCTCCAAACCTCTTAAGGTAAACTTCTTTTTCCGTTTCTACAGAACGCTTACATCTGTTCTCCAGTAGAATAAAGCAATCCTCCCTTCTTCTGCACCACATGTGCTCTTCTCCTGTAAAATCTGCAGTGAGTGGCTGACAGCAGAGCAGGAGCCTGGACTGTTCTCCAACCCCACGTGGGCACAATTTCTAGCTGAGCATTGCCGCTCTCTTGTTTAGATGGGACTGGTGTGCCCTTGATCAGCCAGGAGAACTTCTTCAGTGGCATCACTGATTGCCCACTGCGGAAGTCTCCAGAGAACAAATGTGACAGCTTTGGGCTGCAGTAATTCAGACCTGGGGAAGCGATCTTGGCTGAATGACTTCTAAAACCTGCCTTTTCTACAGATCACAGCAGAGCGAGTCTGCCTGCGCCAGCGGGAGAGCTGCCTGCACAGAACTGCAGACGCAGTCGTCTGTGGTGGAATTCATCATCGACCACACAGACATCCTCTTCTGCTCCACATCTGGACCTGACATCGCAGCTGGAGCAGGTGAGTGTCTTCTTCCATTAGCTTTATCTTGGTCAGACACCTGGATCAAATGCAGGCCTTCTCCAAGACCTCTGAAATACATTTTCCCCGTGGAGGGGACAGCAGACTTCTGGGCTTAGGTTAGAATCTGGCACCCTGTTGCTGGATGCTGAGAATGTGCAAGCCCTAACGTGACAAGAAGAAAATTGTCACCACCATTATGATGTTTTGCAAGCAGGTGAAGCTTGGTGAAAGTGTGGCAGCGAAGCTTTCTCAGTTTCCTACCCCCATTTTCTAGGGATTTTGTTTGCCTGTTTCGATACAGGGAGCTGCTCCTAATTATGACTGCGCCCTTTGCCATAGACACACCTCTGAGCACATGGTTATTTTAAGCTGCTCTTCTTCCAGTGGCTCAGTTAAGCAAGTCTGAGGAAAACACAGCACCTCCCGGACCTGTGATGGCCGTAGTGCTGCCGCTTTCTGATCCTGGCTCTCACCTGTGGTTTTCCCTTCCAGGGCACAGTTCTCTCTCAGGGCCCAAGTCTGTGCAGGCATCTTCTCCTGCCACAGAGCTGCTCAGCGTGGAGGAGGCGCAGGCACGGAGGCGAGGCCACAGCAGCTCTCCTGTCGTTGTGACAGAGAGCAGGGACATGGAAGTGGAAGAAGGCCCCACAGCTGTACGGGGGAAATTCCACACAGTCATTGACTTTCCATCTGAAAGGTAAAGAGGACTTCCTTTTCCAGTACCTTATCATCATTGTTTGGGTGGGTTTTTGTGGTTCCTTTTCGTGCTTTTTTTTTTCTCCCCCCATTATTTCTAGTGCCAAAGCTTGCTGAAACTCTGTTAAACTGATGGTGCCTGAAGTGTTGCAGTGAATCTCCACTCCCTTTGCACTGTGCGACAGAACTCACATTCAGTTGCCCACCGGGCTGCATTTAGCCACACAAGGCTGGCATTCCCTCCTTGCTGGGCAGGCAGTCACGAGCTGCATAAAGCCACGCTGACATCTGTCCTGGCCTGTGCTGGCTGTACCTGGAAACGTTG